TTTTGACCTGGTGATAACAACAGTTGTGGACAACAGTCCAGAAAGTATGGCATATGGCAGTGAATGATAGATAATTTCCTCAAAGCTGAAGAGACTTGATGCAACAGAAATGTGGTTCTACAGAAAGATGATGAGAATACCATAGACTGAACATGTGAGCAACAACAAGGTTTTAGAGAAAATGGTAACAAAAAGGAAACTTATTCTTAACATCAGGAAGAGAAAGTTGAAATTTCTGGCGATCATAATGAGGAAGGAGGGCTTGGAAAATCTGTTACTCATAGGACAGATTGAGGTCAAGTGGGACAGAGGAAAACAATATATAAGATACTTGACAAGCTTGAGAAAATGGATGGTGGAACAGAAATAAGAAAATTATACTTAGCATCAGAAAGAGGGAGTTGAAATTTCTAGGGCACATAATGAAGAAAGGGGGCTTGGAAAATTTAATACTCACTTGACATGTTGAAGGCAAAAAAGACAGTGGAAAGCAATACATAACCTACCTAATGAGCTTATATAAATGGTTGGCAGAACAGGGCTTAGAAGATACAGCAAAAGGACAAAATTTTCAAGAGTTACAAAGAAGAAGAAATTGTGAAGAGTCACGATCGCCTATGTCATGGGAGGACATGGCACACAAAGAAGAATATTGGTGCCTTAAAAATTATGATTGTGGCACAAGCTTAAGCATATTTGCTTGCTTAAAATTTTGCAAAATGTTCTGATTCACAAACCTTTTTTCTTTGTAAAACATAGTATCTATATATAAAATTCTGTGACTCCCCTTAGTTTGACTATCCAGACGTCCTTCTGTCTGTCTGCCACACCCTCTAAAATTGCAATACATTGACTGATCAAAACCAAATTTTGGGGAGAAGTGCAAACAGGTAAGGGAGTACAAAGTACAGTTGGTTTTACCAGGGTGTGTAGTTTAGTACAATAAATTTTCATTAATTTTTGGAAAAATGCTTTATTATTTAATATAAAAAATACTCCTACTATTTTAAAAACAATTTAATGATTAAAATGACAAATACTTATTTAATAAAAATGCAATATTGTTTTGCATATCTTTTATATATACAAGAATCCAGTTTCCAGTTTGCCCTGTGTTTGCAAGAACTATAAACAAATCACAAGGCCAAATGCTTCAAAAAGATAGAATTTGGCTTCAGAAAAAATATTTGCACATGGCCAGTTGTATGCTGCATGCTCAAGAGTAAGAAATCTTAAAAAATTATTCTTCACTATTAAAAAGGAAAAAAAAGAAATTTTCTTAAATATTGTTTACCATGAAGTTCTATAAAATTAAACTAAATTAAAGAAATTATTAAAACACAAAGTAGGGTTTTTGTCAAAGTATTTCTTCAAACAAATCAGTTTATTCAAATTTCATCGATTGGTTTGCAAAATTGAACGAAACATAGAGTTTGTAAATCTTGACAGAAAATGTTAGCGATAACTAAATACTGTGAGGATTTTAACATGTGTCAGTGTGTTGCAAAAAATTCTAGTAACCAAAATTTCAAAAAGCCTATACCAATATATTTTCTGAGAAAAAAAATTTCCAAAAAGGAAATCAGAAAAATTAGAGGATATTTTCCAAGAGAATTATAAATATTTTCTACTGTAGGTTGGTACCAAGTTTTTGAATTGCCAAAATGAATCTAATAAAACCAGAAATAGAAATATCTGTTTATTCTGAGTTGACATTATAAAACTAATATTACTTTTATTTAAGTTGGTATTATAAAACTAATATCACAGGCGAAAAAAAGAATAAAAACATTCTCAGATAAAAGAAGTGTTCTTGTGTTATTTTGGGTGTGTCTGGTGAAAAGATGTTATGATTCCTTTCTGAATTCTTTCATCCTATCTTTATAAGTTGTTTATAGAGGAAAAAAAGTTAGTAAAAGCTTTGTAACTTGAAATGTATTAGAAGCATAACTTCACAGAAAATCCCTTCATAAAGTAATAGACAACATAGTTATCTCTAAAGAAATGTTTTCTAAAGTACTTTTAGAATGTGATTTTTGTCTGATACTTTGAGATGAGCTGTTGTTGTTACTACTGAGAGTTTTTTGACCATCCTTTACTGCCACCTTTCAAAATACAGGGTCAGATCAAAAAGTATCTGTACTGGTGCTATAAAAAGAAAAATTCAATTTCCTTCAAAGTGGTCCCCTTCTGAAGCCACACACTTTATTCAGCATCATTTCCATTGATTGGAGCATTGCTGGAACTCCTTTTTTGGAACAGCAAGCTGCTATCTTATCGCATCTTCTTGGATTTCTTCAAAGTTTTGAAATCTTTTTCCTTTCAAGTTGTATTTAATTTTTGAAGAGGAAAAAATCACAACAGGCAAGATCTTGGGAATATGGTGGTTGTCAGACCAAAAACTACTGCATAAGCCATGATCACTGTAGTGCGGTAAGATGACCACACACTACACACTTTCCCTCCAAGTACTGCTATACACAATGGGAGGGAGTGAGAATGTTATAACCTTTTGTTTTTGTTTGTCAACTTTATTCTTCAGAAAATGAAATACAGTTAAATTTTATTTTCTTGGGAGCTTTGAAGTAATAAAAATATGATATATGTTATTCTGCTTTCACATTTGATTACATGGTAGATGATACTCAGCTTTTTTGCATATACATGCTTGTGTGGACATAATTACTAGAAGCAGTGATATGTGTGCTGTATGTTGTAGTTTTGGAATAGAGTTTGATTTCTTTAAGAAATTGTCAGATATTATATGGATTAATGACATGAAAGAGTTCTTTCATATTGGTTGTTTAATTTTGCTTGGCGGCCTATCAACACCTTTATGGATTATTTAATGGTGAAATTGAAATATTTTGAACACAAGTTTATGGCTTCAATTAAATATATTTTGAACGTAATTGTACAGCTAAAATGTATTGTTGGTCATTTTGCTATAAAATGTATTGCTGGTAATTCTACTATAAATATATATTGTTGGTAATTTTTTTTAGAAAAATGTATTTCTGGTATTTTTACTATAAAAATCTATTTCTACAAATCACTATTTCATTGTGATTTGTTTTTTGGGGGGGGGGTTGCTATTTGCCCATAGCTTGGACACAAACAGGGTGGATCTGTGAACAACAGCCGTTAAGAGGTGGATCCATGCTCCCCAAAACTCCAATCTCCCAATCAGAGGCCTTACTGCTGGGTCTGGTTGAAAAGACCAACTGAGTTCCAAATTCTTCCCTACGTTGTTCTTGCTGTATATGGCCTTGAATTGTCTTGGAGGAAAACAGCATTTCCTAATTAAAAGGCACATTTCCACCAAACTTTTTGGACATGTTGCAGCTCCTAGACGTAAAATTGTGCATTAATTGATTCACTACATTTTAAGAACTCTAAATGAATGATACTCTGATGATTTTACCACATGTTAAAGGTTACCTTTCTTCCATGCAGCTAAGCTTTCGGTATCAGTTGTGGAGATTTACTCTTGTCAATCCACTGCCTTTTGCAATGAACAATGTTGTATGTTAGATTTATTTTTAACTGTCATGTATGAGTAGACATCATTGGAATTGGTTTGCCAAAACAGAAATTACTTTTGATTCAACTTAATAGATAACTTATTTTCTGACAGTTTTCTGTAACATTCTGCATTGCAGATGAGCTCATCAAAGACAGTTGGCCAAATTTCCAACATTTAGAGAAATCACAGCTGGAATGAATGACTTACAATTTCTCCTTTCCTATTTCTGTGAAATTTGCTTCAAAAGAACCTCTATTTCCAGGGTCACATCAACTGGGTTCTTTAAGGATATTTTCCACATTTATAAATATATTATGGTCCATCATTTTCAAAGGATTTACATTTTTATTTTATTATTATTTATTCTGTATAATAATTCTTTATTTCCTTTTCAATACAAAATTATATATATATATGTGTGTGTATGTAAGAAAAAAGACACGAGGAAAACTGTATTTATGTCTTTTTTCTTCTATTCATACTGTCCTTGCTACAGATTAGATCTGAGAATACACACACACAAACATATAATTTCTATATATATTATACATGCATGGTACTTATTGGAAAGCACTCAGTATCAGTGATAGAGCTAATATATTCAGTCATATGGATATGAGTTTGTAATAGGTAAAGTTTACAATATCATCAAAAAGGTAGACATAGGACAAGTTTACATTAGAGAAGAAAAGGTTGACATAGATCAAGTCTGAATAAGAGTTAAAAAGTTAAACATAGGTCAAGTTTACATTAGAGTTAAAGGTTGACATAGGTTTAGTCTAAAGATAGACATCTCAGGTCTATAGCTGAGTCAAAAGATAGACATGTCAGGTCTATAGCTGAGTCAAAAGATAGACATGTCAAGCCTATAGCTGAGTCAAAAGGTAATCATGTCAGGCCTATAGCTGAGTCAAAAGATAGACATGTCAGGTCTATAGCTGAGTCAAAAGGTAATCATGTCAGGCCTATAGCTGAGTCAAAAGATAGACATGTCAGGTCTATAGCTGAGTCAAAAGGTAGACATGTCAGGTCTATAGCTGAGTCAAAAGGTAGACATGTCAGGTCTATAGCTGAGTCAAAAGGTAGACATGTCAGGTCTATAGCTGAGTCAAAAGGTAGACATAGGTCAAGTTTATACTCAAGTATGTAAATATTCAGCAAGAAGGTGTTGCCTATTAAATAGTGTACAGTCTACATCTTGTAAACCATACCAACAGGGCAATGTTTAAAGAATAGGTTTCAGTTTCATGTATATGATATTGTATTCCCAACATGTTGACATGTAAAACCAAGCAACCCAAACCAACCCTGAACATGAATCACTTTCAAAAGATTCCAAAATACTGAAGGTGATCATCAGTATTTAAAATTTATCTGAAATTTGCAATTAGCTATAAAAATTGAGTTATATAAAAGTGGCTGGATATTTTCCGGACAGGCTTTGTAATGAAAATTTCTTTGAAACAAAACTTACGTGACTTGTAAAAGCTGTTCAGTTCTTTCTTCACAGAGAAATGGTGCTTAGTCTTGTTGGCAGCTCGATGGAGACTCAAATTAGGGATCTGGTAGACTGGACCATCAGCCATATTCTTCTTGTTTTCCTTGTACTTGGCATGAAGAAGCACAAACCAACCAGTCAAGCGTTTCATGATATCTTCCAACTGTTCCCGGTGGCATTCTATGAAAAACAGAAAAAAAAGAAAATAATACAATTTATTCATTGGTAATGATAATCAGTAATTATTGCACTAAACAAATTATGTATAGTAAAAGAAATAGAATAGGATGTGTCAGAGGTAGTTTTTCCCAACACTACCATTTGCTACAAAACCAAAACATAAACCTGAAAACTCAAGTCATCTTCTTAAATAGCCTCATCGGATCAAGACTTTTATATGGATGCCATACATGGCACCAAACCTGTTCAAAAATATCTAAACTGTCAGCTGTATACAACTGTTTCCTAAGATCAATGGTGAAAGAAGGCTTTGAGTGAAGCCAGAAGATCTTAGAGGATCTTGGTGCTACAAATCCACATCAAAAGAACTTTGAAACCACATCAAGTTTCAACAGGAACAACTAAAATGGATATCAGAATCAAAGAGAAAATAAACAAAGAACATGGACTGGTGCTACAATCAAACCAAAGATCACTTGAGGAAACCACAACAGCTTTCAACAGATGCAACAACTAAAATGGATATCACATGTAAGTCAAAGAGAAAATAATGAAGCCTGAGTGTCTTGGCAAAGATCATCCTTCTTTGAACCTTGTGGACTGGTGCTGCAGAATCACAAACAAAGAACTGTACCAAATAACAGAAACCACATCACTTGAGGACTTTCAACAGATGCAACAACTAAAATGGACAGCACATGTAACTTGAAGAGAAAATAATGACATAATCAAGATGATGACATTCCAGACTACTTTAAAGAAAAGGTTAGGAAGGAAACCACCATCAATACTGGAAAGAGCGATAACAGCTACTGGACTTGAGAAACTTGTTTTTCTTAAAAAGTGTTTTAAAGAGAGATTTTATAAAGTTCAACCAAAAGTAGTTCTGGCTGCTCGGTCAATGAATGCCAAATGATTCTTTATAGAAAAATTACTAATATTACCATTACAGGAATAATTCAATATTCATTGACTAAACAACATTACTGTTGAAAGTAAGAATTTTTTTTGGAGATAATAATGGCTTAGCAGTACAAGTTTTACTAATTAATCCATTGCTGGTGGGAGAAGAGGTAGATTTATACCTTTCCCATGGGCATTTGCATGCAAGTGAATATAACAAACCCAACGGGAATTAGAACTTGGTCCTCTGATTAACAATTCCAAGTCATTATCCATTACCTCACCAACACTTTCGAGCATATTGCCAAGCAGTCACCCATCTAGGTACTGACCAGACTCAACATTGCTTATGTTGTCATTTCAACACGGGAAACATTTGGCAATAACTGACAAAATAGCATTACTGTCATTTGAAATTTCTAAAAATTTTCTATTAAAACAGTTTTTCAGGAAAATAGACTTGTTCTTTCTAGCATTGATAGGTGTTTCCTTCCTAACATTTTGTTTAAGGTAATATGGAAATTTAACATCTTGATTATATCATAATTTTGCTCTTTTAGCTAGCATTTGTGCAACCCATTTTGTTGATGTTGCTGTTAGAAGTGTTCAAGTGACGTGTTTTTTGTTATTTGGTTATGCTCTTTGTCTGTGATTCTGTAGCATCAATTCATAGGGTCTGATGGAGGAATATCTTCTTTAAGACATGAAAAATTCCTTTGCCTGAAGCCATTTTAATCATTGAATTGTTTATAGATTATACGTAAAATCAGAGTTTCTCAACCTTCTTTATGTCTACTTATTTACCTTCCATAACAGGGTTTCTTGATGCCTGTGCATGCTCTGATCCCTGCTGATGTGTCAATTTTTCATAGCTGGTTGCTATCGAGAGGAATTAAGTTCAGCTGTCAAATCTGGAGCAGTTTTTCTTGTATTTCTTTTGTTCTCAATAATCAAGTATTTATCTTCAGCAGAAGTTGTTACTTTTGGTGCTCTAGTTCTTTTCTGTCAACATTTGTGCCAGTTTCTAACTTCCTTTGTAACAAATATTGCACCTCATGTCTAAAAATCTTCAACTTTTTGGCAATTTGTCTTTGATAGTAGCCTTCTTTGAATAAAATTTCAATTTGTGCCCTCACCTCAATGCTTAGCTGAGCTGCTTTGTTTTTGCCATTTTGTACAAATTACTTCAAAAGTAAAAAACTAAATGAGAAAATACAACTTTTTACTTCAGAGACAGCTATATATATTTTGTTTACAACATTAGTTAGTGTTGAGTTAATATTTAGGAGCTGTATTAACATTTAGTTGAACATTTTTTTAAGCTCCAAAAATCTACTGAGGGGCTAATGGTTGAAACAAAATATATTTCTCATGTGAAATATTCATAATTTAGTAAAATATATTGTGGATAGACGAATCAAAATTTGAACTTTTTGGTAGTAAGGAGATCCTGAAGAAAGACTGGAAAATAAATGCAAATATATTGAAGTTACTGAAATTTAATGTTTTACTTTAAAAAAATTACAATTTTAAGGTGTTTTTTAAAGAAATACAAGGTTTCCTCAAACATTTTACCTGTAGTGTGTGTGTGTGTGCATATATATATATATAATATATATATAATATAAATATATGTATATATATATAATATATATATATATATATAATATATATATATATATATATATATATATATATATATATATATATATATATATATATATATATATATATATATATATATATATATATATATAATATATATATATATATATATATATATATATATATATATATATATATATATATAATATATATATATATATATATATATATATATATATATATATATATATAATATAATATATATATATATATATATATATGCATTGATGGGAATGGAAAATCTTTTGAAGTGGAGAAAAAAGAATTTCTGAAAAGAGATGATCAGTAAATCAGAATTGACTTTTTTCAAGATAAATTTTTCTCTGCTTGTAGTCAGTCCAAGACCTCTCTCCTCTGACAACCCCGTGATCTGTCTCTGATGGATCCAATAAAAAAATCTGTTCATATCTTAAACGTCAAAAGACTACTGAGATTTTAATTTAAATTGGCTACAAAAAAAGATACAATAAATAATAGAAAACCTCTGCAGAACCAGACCTCTGTTACCTCAAGTCTCCTCTTCATCAGCAAGGAAACTCTCCAGTAGAAAATAAGTCAAATTTATTATGATCTAATGTAGAGTTTCATACTAGCAGGTGTAATGAATAACTTAAAGCTATATCTCAGAGATTAAATTTCCAAAGACCATCTTAATAGACTTCTTATCCAGAGTCCATCACACCATGGAGAATGCAATCAAAAAATACTCCACTACATTTTGCAAGAATGCAAGGCAATTCCTAGATAAAAAAAAATGAATCTGTAAAGTGTTGTGATTGCCTACATTTTTTTTAAATCACTTCATAATCAAGCAGGGCAACAAACCCACTAACATGCAAGGGTTAGTGTGAAAAAAAATGAGAAAAACAAAACATTATTAATGAGAGAGAACAATAAAAGAATAGGAATTAAGAAAACAGAAAAGATAATGATTGACATTGCATTTAGATTTTTGAAGATCAAAGTTGACTGGAACACAAGAAGCCAGAAGAGTGTAAGAGAAGAAACTGTTAGCATAGAACTTGCAGTTACATCTAACCATTTCCACTGTAAAATGATGAAACCCGGACTGCTTGACTTCAATGGACTTCTCTTGATTCACTTTGATTTCTTTATTTAAGGCATCTTGCCTAGTTCATTCATTTGTGTTGCCAGATGTGTCTTATTTACTCCAGAACATTCCCACTTTTGAGATTTTTTTTTTGTCTCTAGTAAATATTTTATTTTATTTCTTAGTAATCACAAACTCCTTTTTCTGGTGAGTTACTGAACTTCATATTTCTTTGTTTGCGGTCAACCTCTATTTTTCTGTATGTTTCCTTTTTCTGGTGATCACACTTGTAAGTTCAACAAATTCTGAGGGTTTTTGTACAAGAATAGATTCTTCTTTTCTTGCAGGCTTTTCCTCAGTAAACCCTTTCTTTAACTGATTTCAATGCCTTTTGCGTTCCCAATTTTTTTCCTTTTACTATATATATCATTTTTCCAATTTGTGAACTTATTACACTGTCTTCCAACATTTCTTTTTCATTTTTCGTACTCTGAAAAATACTTTTTCACCAATTTTGAAAAAATTTGTATCCTTTTTTTTTTTTGTTATCTGTTCTTATTCTTTTTTGACCTGGTAAAAACTTGTCGAACACCAATTTAGTTTTACTTGTGAACATCAATTCTGCCGGTGACATGCCTGTTGGTGTATTGGGATTTGGTGTTATCCTGTATACTCTCAAGAATTTTTGTAATGCCTCTTCACTCATTTTTTCATTACTTGCTTTTTTCAAAGCTCTCTTAAAAGTACCCACAAACCGTTCAGCTTCTCTGTTTGACCTTGGGTTAAACAGCAGGGTAGTAATATGCTCACTAGAAAACATTATACAAAATTCTTTAACTTCTTAAGCAGTGAATTGTGTACCATTATCTGAGAATATGGCATCTGAAATGCCGCATCTTGCAAATAGTGCATGTAAAAAATTCACTGTAACTGTTGAAGTTGTTTTTTTGCACTTACAAATTTCACATCACTTAATAAAGCTACTATCCACTACCACAAGATAATGTGATCCATTTATTGGATCTGTGAAATCTATGTGCAGTCTTGATGATAGAGTATCTGTCTTTGGCCAAGGTTGTAATTTCATGGTAGTTGATTTTGCTCTCAAAGCACAACCTTTGTAGGCTTTTTCTAATTTTTAATGTCTTGAGCCATTTTGGTCCAGTATATATAGCTTCTCATAAGAGATTTCATCCTTAAAATTTCTGGATGTCCACTATAAAATTCATTTAATATTTGCTTTTATAATCTGATAGCTATTACTACTCTGTACAAACATAAGTACTCCATCGTATAAGTGTTCAAGTCTGGAGTGTGTTCTAAAAAACGTCTATGTTTCTTATTTTCTTTAGTTGTTTTTTCTTATTTTTGAAATAAACAT